CCCTGCACGCCCCCCCGTGCCCTCCGGCGGGCACAGCAGAGCAGAGACCCGAGCTGCTGCCCGCGGGGGGGGTGACAAGTGGCTTTGCCAAGTGTTTTTGGGCAGAGACCCGCCCCGCAGCCCCGCAGCCCCGCCCGGCGGGGCACGCACACGGATCCGCCCTGCCCGGCCCGCAGCGAGCGCTGCCAGCCCGGGAGCATCCCCAACAGCCGCCGCGGGAAAAAGGCAGGGAATGCCACCAGGTTGTACCCAGAGGAGCTTTGCCGTCCTCCCTGGTCACCCCCACAGGTCTGAGCCTGCCGTGGGGGCCCGGGGAGCAGAGGATGCTGCAGCCAAGTGCTCTAATGTAAACCATGCACTTAACTTCTTTGCTTTGTTTTGGGGTTTTTTTGTTGTTGTGTTTTTTTTTTTTTAATTGCATAATTACTGCAGACATTTCTGCTCATGCGAGGTTTTATTACATCTTTGTGGTTATCCTACAAGCCCTACATTTTGGGCCTCAACCGAGTTGGCCAAGCTCTCCAAAAACATCTGTCCCCAGTTACTCCCTCCCCGCGCTGCAGCAGAAACCTGCTGCCTGGAGATGTTGCAATGAAGTCTTGTTTGCAACAGGAAAAAAGTTCTAATTCCTGACCCAAACAGAAGGGTAAATATTTACCTCCTGGATGTCAGCACTGGCCACACACCTGTGGGTTCCCCACAGGCACCCCAGAGCACAGCACATCCATCCCCAGCATGTCCTGGTGGCACACGCAGCCCCACACGTGGGCACTGGCACAGGCAAGGCACAGCCACAGGCCCCTCTGTCAAGCAGAGGGACAGCCACCCTGCCAGCATGCAAAGGTGACACCATCCCTCCCTGAGCAGGGGTCAGTTAACAACCAGCTGCTAATTCATAGAAACTCAGACTGGTTTGGGCTGGAAGGGACCTTAAAGATCACCCAGTCCCAACCTGCTGCCATGGGCAGGGACACCTCCCACCAGCCCAGGCTGCTCCAAGCCCCATCCAACCTGCCCTTCAACACTGCCAGGGATGGGGCAGCCACAGCTTCCCTGGGCAACCTGGGCCAGGCTCTCACCACCCTCACAACAAAGAATTTTTTTCCCAAAAATTCTAATTTCCCTGTATTAGAATTCCCAGACCCAACAGGCTGCTCAAATCCAACAGCTACAAGACATGGGTTTGCTTTCTAGAAGATAAATTCCAGTGATGAAGGTCCCTTTGCACACCCAACCCCCAGTCATGCCTTGGTGTGACTGGAGCAGCAACGGAGGGGAACTGCATCACCCCAAACACCTTCCAGTGGCTTCACTGTTGTTCCTGTTTCTCCTACAAACACACCTGGAGAAAGCAGCAAGGCAGCGAGTCCCAGGGACATCACTAGGGTGGCTGATGAAACCTGTGTGGCCAAACAGGAGTCCCAGCAACAGTACAGGTGTGGGGACAGCCACGCTGCCAGCCCTGGGCCACAGGATGGCTGGCAGCATCCAGGAGCAGCTCCGCCCAGCACCAGCCCAGCAGCTCACTTGTCTTTTACACATCATTAGCCCAGGCATCTAATTAACAGCCACCACCAGCTCAACCTGCTGTCCCAAAGGCACCTTTGCCATAAAAGCACCTCACAACCAAGCACCCAGCATCCAAAATAGCCCCTGTCACATTGAGACCCCCCCCAGCCCTGCCCACTGCCTCACAAACCCCCTGGGACTCAACACTGGGCAGAGCAGAGACAGAGCTCCAGAGAAAAGCAGAAAGCAGCCCAGCAGCCACAAGAACATGGTGGATTTAGATGAGATATTAGGAAGAAACTTTTTACAAGGAGGGGGGTGAGAGCCTGGCCCAGGCTGCCCAGAGAAGCTGCAGCTGCTCCATCCCTGGCAGTGTTGAAGGGCAGGTTGGATGGGGCTTGGAGCAACCTGGGCTGGTGGGAGGTGTCCCTGCCCATGCAGGGGGTTGGGACTAGATGATCTTTAAGGTCCCTTCTAGCCCAAACCAGTCTGGGATTCTCTGTTTGGGACAGAGGAGTGCACAGCATGAGGGCACAGGTCCCACTGCATCCCCTCCCAGGGGACACTGTGGGGCAGGCAGTTGAGCAGGCAAAGCCCCCAGGCCAGGTGAGGCAGACCCTGCTCCCCATGCCACCACAGGACACAAGTCCCCGAGGTGCTGGGATGGCAGTGCCAGGACAGCAGAGCAGCTGGCAGCCAGCCCTGCCCACCTGCTCTGGGGACAGGCAGCCCCATTTTAAATCCCTGCTGAATTATTCATGGCATTACCGTGGTTCTGGGAGCACGAGGTCCTGAACACCAGGTCTCTGCCAAGGGTGCATGGTGACCTCCCCACCCACGGCAGGTCTCAGGGGGGTCACTCCTCTTGCAAAATAAGATAGGGGCAGGATGGGGGAGGCTGGCAGGGCTTTTCCCACCCCTCCAGCTGTATTGCCAACCCCCTGCTCACCACTACAGCCAGATTCTCTTCCTCTTTGGTTCATTTTCTCGTTGCTTCAGGCTGCACTGAAGGAAAACTGCAGCCCCTGCATAAACAAATGCTACTCAGAAAAATGCAGCTCCCTGGGAGCTGCCTGGAGCATCAGCACTGGTTCCCACAGGGGCAGGTTGGGGCCAGGGGTCTGCAGGGGGACAGGAGCTGCCTTTTCTCCTCCTGCAATAGACACCTCCAGGGCAGCTACGGAAAAGACTCAAGTTCTGCCAGTTCAAGTCCCACTTCTCCCAGTGCCACCCAGCTCAGAGCCTGGTCCAAACACAGCTGAGGACAAGTCTTGAAAAGGAGCCCAGCTGCCACGCCGCTGCTACAGGGACATAGATCTACAAGCACTGCAGGAACTGGGATGCACCATCACTGCCCTTGTTCCCTGGACCTAGGAGGAGAGTCCCAGCACCCACAGCAAGAGCCTGGAGTAGATGTCAGCACCTTGAAGCAAGGCACAGGAGCAAGATGCAAGTCCTGCTGCTCCAGCCACCCCAAAATCCTACCAGGGTCACTCACAGCCCTGGCACTGAGGAGTGACCTTGGCCAGGAAAGCCTGCAGCACCCAGCTCTTCAGAGAGCTGCCCCCCATGGGGACAGCAGCAAACCAGCCCCTGGCCTGAGCCTCTGCCAGCACCAGACGTGCTCAGCACTCTCTTCCCTTTGCCCAGCCCCAGCTCCACCAAACCCCAGCTCGGTGAGCACCAAATATCCTGACCCCACTGGCCCAGGTGAAGCCCCATAGCCCCTCAAGGGGAAGTAGAGGGGCTCCTCCCCGCTGAGACCCCAGCCCAGCTCTCTCTGTCCCACCCTCTCCTTGGAGGAGCTGAAACCCAAAGGCCGGAAGGGACCGTCCTGTTCCCCTCGCCCGACTTCCCGTCAGCACACGCTGTTGGATCCAAACCAGCAAACAGAGCAGAGGCAGGAGAGGAAATCTCCAGCTTGGAAAGCTGTCCCCAGCCGTGCCCAGCCACCTCCCAGGGAACAGATCCTCTCCCACTGACCGCCCTGGGGGTGACCAAGCCCCCCACTGTACCAATGCCCACAGGAAACCCACCCATCACCATCACACCAATTTTCAAACAGCTTTGGATCGTGCAATGAGGTAAAGAAAAAGATACTGCCCCTAATGCTGCCCCTGCCAGCCCCCACGGGGGACTCCTGCTCCACCAGATGCCAAACAGCTCTGGAGGGAAGGAGGAGGTGAGACCCCCTCCTTATCACTGGAGATGCAGGTGCCTCCTGTCCCATACCAGCATTGCCTCTTATCTGCACAGGGGAATTTCTCTGCCTCTTACACCATGGGGGCTCCTGAGGAGCTGAAGCTTTCCTGACATTCCCACCTCTGTCCCCCCAGCAGCCCCACAGCCCCCTCTGGGCCAGCATCCAGCCACCAGCCCACCCCTGAGGGGACAGACACCAACCACACAGCCCCTGCCAGCACAGGGGTGGGGACATGGAAGGGGACAGATGGCTGCAGAGAGGTGACAGAGCCACCAGCTCAGCCAGGTGTCTGAGCCCTGCTCCTGCCACGTTTGCAGCCCAAGGGCAGCAGGACTGACCTGCTATCTGCCCAGCACCAGGCTGTGCCTTCCCCACCAGCCCAGCCCCAGCAGCCACGGAAACTGGATGTTTTCCACCCCAAATTCTTTCCTTTTTGGAAAGGAGTTTACCAATACAAGGCATTACAGCAGAACCACAGTCCAGACCCAGGCCAATTGAAAAAAAAAAAAAAGATAGCTAATTTACTTCTTATTTAAGCAAAAAGCTGAGAACACATTCATTTCAGACATTCCCTCCCTCCTGCAAACAATGGAGGAGAGAGAAGCTCATTCACCAGCTCCAGCACCATTGCCTGCCTGGTCCTTGCAGCTTGTCCCCATAGGAGAGTAAGACCTGGGCTGGGTCACCCATCCCCAGGGCTGATGTCCCTCAACCAGCAGCTCCTGGGGCTCAGAAGACCCTCAGAGGAGGCAGAAAGGGAGGGAGCAGCACATCCCCCAGCACCCAGCGCTGCTTCAAGCAAAAGAAACGAGGCCAAAGCGCAGCTCACCCACGGCTTTGAGACACAGCAAAGTCCCCAAGCCCACCACGGCCACACACGGGAGGTTTCCCTCCGACAGGGAGCAAGCAGAGGGAAGTCCCAGGGTGGCTGTGCCCGGTGCGTGCCCAGCAGCCCCGCCGGGCTCTGCCCTCACCTTCCTGCTGCCGTGCGAGGAGAAGCCGCGCGCGTGGCGCTGGGGGCTGCCCCCGCCCAGCTCCAGCTGGGGCTTCCAGACCTCCCCGTTGTCACTGCCCACCGACTTGGTGGGCGAGGGGCCGGAGTTGAGCAGGATCCCACTGTGCACCATCTCCTCCGTGCAGGTGAGGCGCAGGCTGCACAGGTACTCGTCCGTCTCCTTGTCCACCACCAGCAAGCGTGTCTCCGACTCCACGGCTTTGATGCGCTGCACGACCTGCAAAGGAGAAGAGCAGCTGAGCTGGATTCAAGGACCACCAACTCCCCAACGTCCTCCTGCAGCTTCGGTTTTGCTGCAGGGTGTGAGATCACTGGCACTGCAGCTGCGGGTGATGGAGGAGAAGGGCAGACCAAGGCTTTGGGGGACCCCTGGGATGGAGCACCTGCCTGCAGCCCTGGATGATGGTGGTGACTTCTCTTTCCACCCCATGTCCTGCAACCAACACAACAGCTCTGCCCAGAGCAGCTGCACAGACCACCTGGGATCACCCACTCTGCTCAGAGAGGAGCTCTCACAGAGGCTGCTTCATTACCTCCCTGAGCATTAGAAACCCTGCTGTGGTGTTTTGTCCCTTTCAAGGGACAACATAATCTGTCCCACCAAACAGTCCTGCACATCCTCATTCCCCTCATCTAGGGTCTTTCTTCCCCCACACCCAGAGCAGGGTGGGGAGCCAGGGTGCATGGGGAGGCACCAAGCACCTATTCATGTCTTTGGTGCTCCCCACGGTGCCGGTGGGCTGACTGCCCCCACCCTGGGTGGACTTATGAAAGGAACAACTTGATCTGTACGTTCATCCCTACTCTTTGCCTGGGGTCAGCAGAGATAAGGGCAGTCAGTGCTGGGAGCAGGAGATGGGCCTGTCCCTGTGGGATCCAGCTCCAGCAATGCTGAATAGGGACCATTGTCCAGCTGCTGCCCGGCTCCTTCACGGGAATCGGTGACTGGCAGAGGCTCTGAAAGGAGATCACAGTGCCGGGGTGGTGGGGAGAGCTGGGAGGAGCTGATCCCAGCCAGACAGGGTGTAAATCACACCAGGAGAGGCTGTGATGGAAACGGGGCAAATCCAGGGCAGGCACAGGAGCAGGTTAAAGAGAAATCACCCCCAGGCTCCCTGACAGCGCTGCAGAGGGCTGGCTCTGCCAGGCCTCCTCCTCTGGGCACAGGCCTTCATCCCGAGGAGGGGGTGGTAACGCTGGCAATGCCACTCAGCAGCCACCCCCAGTCATGGGGTGGTCCTGCAGACCACAGACTCCGTGACCCCAACCCAGCACTGGGCAGCCCCCAACCCAGCACTGGGCTTCCTTAAACAGGGTTCCTGCCCTGATCTAGGTCACACTGGCCAGACACGCTGCAATTGCCAAGGTTAGAAGTGACAAACGAGCCTAATGCGCAATTAGCCAGCGTTTATTTACTCCCCTGCAAGCCCCATTCAAGGTCAACAGAGCTGGTATCTGCAACTGAAGAAAAAAAAAAGCAACCAACAAGAAATTTATAGACTGCAGACAAAGCTGCTTGTCCTGAACCAACTAATCCTCCACAGCCTCCAGCTCCTCGCGCCGCACAGCCGCGTGCCCAGGGCTCCCATCCATGGCCACCCTGAAGATGCTGCTCCACCAAGCCCCAGCAAATCCATCTGCTCCCTGTCAGATCTATTCACGTGTGGCATCAGCTGGTGCTGCCGACACAGGTCAGGCAGTGCTGTGCCAGACCTGCTCTCCTGGAGAAGACCGCAGGCAGCGGCAGGAGATGCGGGTGGGCAGTGCCAGGGCAAGAGCAGCGATGGAGCAAGTGTCCCCCAGCCCCCCGAGAGCCAGGGATGAGCCAGGCAGGGACAGTGACATCAAGCAGTCCCTTGCCCTCTCCCCAGCAACAGGGAGAAACAGAAGCGACTTTCTGTGACAAACTCCCTGGGCAGCAAGTCACTCTGGGGACCAAGCAAAGGGGAGGAAGGCAAAGCAGCAGCCAGGCAGCCCGCGATCCTGCAGCACCCCTACCCGCTTCCGAGCCATGGTCACCGCCTGCAGTCTGCAGCTCTTCTGGAGACAACAAGCATCTGTCGCCTTGGGACCTTCTCAGCGCCGGACCCAGCCCCACCATTTCCGCAGCTCCACCCAAACAGACTTTCACCCCTGGTCTGCATCAGCACCAGCCCAACAGAGCCAGCCCAGGCCCTTCCACCCTTGCCAAACAACAGCTGCCCAGGAAGGAGACTCATGGTGCCACTGGGAGCAGCTCAGCTCATATCCCTCCTGCTCCCAGAGATGCCTGTGCCCATGCACGGTGCTGCCAGCCACAGAGAGAACCTGAAAGCTGTCCTGGCCTGGGCACAGCAGGAGAGCAGGAGCCACTTGCTCTGCCCTGCACAGCCACTGCCCACCCGGGCAAGGAACCGAGGAGCCAGAATGCAATTTTGCATCCAAGACATGAAACACCCTGAGAACACGTTCTGCCCTGGCTCCTTGGGTACAGCCAGGGAAAAGATCAGAGAACAAAGACACAAGCACCGCCAGCTCCAGCTCGAAACACAGTTACACCCAAACAGCAAGGCCTTGTTTGCTGCGGGTGCTGTCCCACCAGCTTCAGATGCCCATGGAGAAGTGTTACTTATCCAAGGTCGGGGACCTCAGCAGCACAAGGAGAAGCCACAGCAAACCAGCTGCTGGAACCCATGGGCAGGACCTGGTGCCTAACCCACCACAGCATCACCCTGCCCACAGCCCAGCAGCACTGGGGGTTTTTTGGGGAGGGGAAGAGGCTTTCACTGTTTGGAGGCAAGAGGAAGGGCAATCCCAGAGGGTGTCTCAGGGCAGGGCTGCTCCTGCTCACACACACTAAAGCCACCACAGCTGGAAGGCAGCACAGCTGTGAGCTCCAGGACACCCCAAGAAGGACACTGCCACCCACCCACAGCTCTGTAGCCAGGACTGAAACCTGCCTCTGCCATGGCCAAATCCTGCCTCTGCCAGCAGAAAATAGAAGACAAGAAATTTTTTTTCCCATTCCACTTGACCTACTGGAAAGCCCCTGCATGTTTCACAGGCAGAGTTGGCTGCCTCATCTCAGCTATCACCCATCCCCAGCATCCCAGCTCCAGCAGGGAGTTCTCATGGCTTCCAGCAGGACACAGCGCCTCGCAGGAACCCAGCCCTCCTTTCTGCCCACCCAGATCAAAGATGTGGATCCTCCTTCAAAGGTTTTGAAATCACATTCAAGACAAACATTACTTCTTATGCAGCTGGCTCAGATCACCAAAACAGGCTCAGTTCTTTATAAAACCCCACTGAGCCCATGGAGAGAAGATCACAAGGCATCTTGAAGCCACCTGGAAGGTTCTGCCCCATCTTGGACACAGCAAAATCCATGCCTGTAGGTGAACCTCAGGATCCTGAACCCCCAAAAGACTGTTGCTACATGAGACATCCCTGCTCTGCCCCCATAAGGCCCAGGCAGAGGGGGCTGGCTGTACGTTTTAAGATACTAAAGCACCAAACCCCACAGAGCCCCCCAGACCATTAGGCAAACGGGCACAGTTGGTGCTGTGCCCCTGCCAGCCCCTGTGTCTCAGGAGCAGCTCAAATCTCATTGCTTTGTTTTTAGGACTAAACTGTGTTTCAGCTTTCTAAGCAGAAAATGACACGGCCCAAAGCCTGGAGCTTCTGTTCCAGGGCTGAGAAGCTGCTGCCCTGGACCCCCCCCAGCACAGCCGTGGGGTAATAACAGCCATTATTTCCCCACAAGCCCTATCACACTGAAGCCAGCCAAACTGCTGAACATCTGCAGAGCTTGATCAGGCGATTTTAAGGCATATTTATACACTCCAGGCTGCATAAGGAGGAGCAGCTCACCCAAAGTGGCCAAGAAAACACACAGCTGAGCAGGAAATAAAGCCTGGGTCTCCCCCATTCCTTTCCACCACAGATTGCATAACACAGCAGTGCCCTGCCCATGCCGAAACACCTTCGGCTTTCCCACCTTCACATGATTACAACATCCTTTCTCCAGAAGAGAGAAAGGCCACACCAAAAAAACTGTTCTCATGGGAACTCTGCACCCCAGGCATGCAAAGCACCCCCTGCCCCTCGCAGCTCAGGCCTAGGATTTGGAAGGGCAGCCATCCCACCACAGCACCCCCCAGTGCTGGCTGGGCTGAGGCTGCTCCAGCTCAGATATTTTGGGAGAAACTCCCCCCCTCCTCCTCCCCCCGTTTGCCCAGCCTGGAGAGACTGGAGCTGGGCAGAGCCAAGCTGGTGGAGAGGGGGTGCTGAGAGCCAGGGGGTGCCTGAAGCTGGGGTGCTCGGGACCAGGGGGTGCCCAGAGCTGGGGTGCTCGGGACCAGGGGGTGCTGAGAGCCAGGGGGTGCCTAGAGCTGGGGTGCCCGGGACCAGGGGGTGCCTAGAGCTGGGGTGCTCATGAACAAGGGGTGCTGAGAGCCAGGGGGTGCCTAGAGCTGGGGTGCCTGGGACCAGGGGGTGCACAGAGCTGGGGGTGCTCGGGACCAGGGGGTGCCCGGGACCAGGGGGTGC